CATCAAGATTGCATGAATCATTTGGTGCAATCCACCATGAGTTGTAAGCAAAACAGATGACCAATAGTTATCAGATAGAAAAAGATAGACCCAAGGGACGCTGAAGGGACTGAAGACGCTGCAGAGACCTGCAGGTGTCTGGCAGCAACAACTTCAGCGCCTTGGATGGAAATGCGACCGACCATAGCATTCAGAGAGCGGTGGATCAGGAGTTGGGAGCTCACCAACAGGAAAGTTTTCTGTGCTTGAGTCGCGTGTAACCTATTTAAGGAGCACCAAGGTAACCAGGAAAAAGAGTCCAGATGGCATTTTTGTGCGCACAGTGAAACGAACCGATGAGACCATTATGTCACAACCTGCAGTCAAATCGACATTAGTCCGCGGGGTTGGCAGGTTTTGTCAGGCAGGCGACGGCTTTGTTTGGTATTGGATACTTGCTGTATTAAAAAATATTCCGGACAGAGCCGACCTGCAAACATTGCAACATCATATTTCCCCAAATAGCGAAGCTATGGGGTTCTTACTTCAAATAATGGTGAGTTGCCCGTGCGCGCTTTCGAGACAGGTTGCTGGTGCTGGGTGCCGGTGCTGGTGCTGGTGCTGTGAGCTGGCTGTGCACGTGGTGGAGACAGGTTGCTGGTGCCGGTGCTGGTGCTGGGTGCCGGGTGCTGGTGCCGGTGCTGCTGCTGGTTCTGTGAGCTGGCTGTGCACGTACGTGGTGGAGACAGGTTGCTGGTGCTGGTGCCGGGTGCCGGTGCTGGTGCTGGTGCTGTGAGTTGGCTGTGCACGTGCTGGTGCTGGTGCCGGGTGCCGGTGCTGGTGCTGGGTGCCAGGTGCCGGTGCTGGTCCTGTGAGCTGGCTGTGCACGTGGTGGAGACAGGTTGCTGGTGCTGTTGCCGGGTGCTGGTGCTGGTGCTGGGTGCCGGGTGCCGGTGCTGGTGCTGTGAGCTGGCTGTGCACGTGGTCGGGACAGGTTGCTGGTGCTGGTGCCGGGTGCTGGTGCTTGGTGCTATATCAATCCTGCGTGCTGGTGCTGGGCGCCGTAAGCTGGCGCGCCGGTGCTCGGTGCTGGTGCCCGCTTCTGACAGTGAAGTGATAACACCCCCGCCGCTTCTGACAGTGAAGGGTAACAAACCGCCGCTTGCAGCAGTGAAGGGGGACCAAGCGCCGCTTCTGACAATGAAGTGCAAGCAGTCATGGGCCGCATGAACTTATGCACGCAACATCATACGGTGTTGTCGCTTGAGCGTTCTTTGTCTATTAGCGCTGTGGGGTATTTACACCCTTCAGGTTCTGTTTTGGCTGACAGCTGTGTCAAGGGCTGTACTGTTTGCGCGCATAATTTGTACGTATAATGTTCTATGCATCAGGCTCTCAACCGACCAGTGTACCAGCATGTTTCAGCATGCTACCCGACTGTGCGCATACTTTTGTGCGCATAAACCTATACGCGCAAGATCATACGGCCTTATCGTTCTGCAGATCGTTGCTTCAAGCATGCTACAAAGTCAATAGTGGCGCTGGATACTGCCTGGCCTTGGGCCAATGACATTTACGGGCTTTGCTGTTTGCGCGCGTACTTTTGTGCGCATAAACTTATACGCGCAAGATCGTACGTTGTTATTCCCCAACTAGGGATAGCTATGGGGTTCTTGCTGCAAATAAGTATGAGCTGGCTGCGCGCACTTTCGAAAGGGTGTCGGTGCTGGTGCTGGTGTTGTGGTCCTGGGTGCTGGTGCTGTGAGCTGGCTGAGCGCGTTTAAGACGGGCGGCGTCGCTGGTCGGGTGCTGGTGTCAGCTGATTGTGCGAGGTGTCGTAAGCTGGCTGCGCAGGCTGCGTACATTCTTGTTCCAACCAGTCGCATGTCAACAGGTCCTGGGATTCTTTTTAGCTATCTGGATCTATGCTGGTGTATTTTTTTTGCGTCAAAGGAACACATATCGATTTTCTGACTCTTCTCTGGAACGATTTCAGAATGTCTGCTCTTCTTTTTCGATTCGTCAGGTTCGTCACCCCACTGCCAGGTTCGTCTCTCCCCGTCCCCACGCGCAGCTCCGCCGAACCCGCGGGGGCCGTGCGGTCAGCGGCTGCCGCTGTAGCGACGGACGCGTGTCTCGGCGGTGCGGAGACAGCGCGCTGCTGCTGGCAGACTTGGGGCCAACTCCAACGGTGCCAAGCCGGTCGACTGGGGCATCGGGTTTGTTGTGAACGTCGGACGAGTTGAGAAGTGATGGGACGGAGGTGAACGAAGCCATAGGTAGTCTGAACAGTTACTGCGCACCCACCAGCAGCGTTTATCGATGTGCACAGACCTTTTTTCTACTTTGAGCTATCACTTGCACAGATGTCAGATCTGAGTCTCAGAGTGCTATGCATCATGGAAGTCTACTTCGTTCAAGATTTGCTGTCTAGCAATGGCTCCTTGGCATCCTATTCTTCAACAAAGAAGCTCTGCTTGGGAGTGGATGGGCGAGGTGGTAAGCTGTGCCTTCAACGCGATCACCTTCCTGCCGCAGCGCCTTGCCGTGCTACCCTTTTGTTGGTGTGGAAGGGTAGGGAATGAGTCAGGAACCATAGAGCCATAGACATGACATCGAATGAGCGGGACATACAATACCCAAGTGGCACTGTTGCTTTTAAAAGAAGGACTATACCCACAGGGAACGAGAATTGGGTGATTCCATTTGGTGCTGGCGCTGTTTACCCCAGACATGGACGACTGTCTACTGCGAGAAGAATGTCCTGTTGACAGGGTGTGGGAGTGGATGGAACAAACATGCTGCAACGAGTCAATATGGGTATGTATTTTAATAGGGAGATCCCCTGGCCGAATGGGTTTTGGATGGTTTTGGTCTATTCTTCTGGGGTGTTCAAACTGGGAGGCCTCCCTATTTTAATACACACCCATATTGAGGACACCGGACCTCTGTCCGAAGCCTGTGATTTTTGAAGTGTCGCTTGGGTGTCCTTGTGGCTGTTTGGTTGACCATTTGGACCCTCATCGAGACCTCCACTGGTTTTCTGCGACCGTAGTCAGCTGCAAATTTCAAGCAGATGACGTACATGGTTGCCACACACGAAAGGGCTGACTAGAATGGCATGTGCGGCGACCGTATCTTCTCTCCACGGCTTCGGCTTCGGCTTGAGCCACCCTTGGGACGGAGTTAGCGATCGCGGCGATGGCATTGAGGTACTTGTGGCTCCTGATGGTCTTTGCGCCAAACTGGTCCTTCACCAGGAAGCTTGTTTTGGGCAGACTGAAGAAGAGAAGCTGAGGAGCTGTCATACCTGCGATTTGCTGCTAGATGGTTGGCCCATGCAACCATGGCCAGCGTGAACCACAGGGATTGAACAGGGGGGTTCCTCTTTCTGTCTGCCAACGCCAAACTTCTGCTTCAGCGATCCTTGAAAAGCCTGTGATTTTATGTCTGGCATGTGTCAGAGCCCTAGCCCAGCTATGAAGACATGCAAAGAGTGTCGGTATACTGTGCATTTCTGGTGTGCCCCACCCAGAGTGTCTCTTCAACTTTTTCCAAAGTGGCCACAGGCAGAATGGATCGGGCTCTATGGAAAATAGATTCGTGTAGTAATGACAACAAAATTTATCTTCTGTCTTCCCTCCTCGCAATAGTAAGCACCATCGCCACTTTGATATTCTCTCTTGACATCTTCTTGACGTAATGGACCCCAAATCTCTAAAATAAGCCCAGCAGAGTGCCAGTCCTTTGCGCTCCAATGTTTTTCCTTTCACCTTGCTGTCTGTAGATTCCACCATCAACATTTCTTGTTCACGCACAGGGGCTACATGGCAGGGGGGGGGTACTTGCTGTTACAGCCGGAAGCCTTCGGACCTGGAGCATCGCAGCTCCAGGAAAGTCATGGAGCCTCTATGGCCGGTGCTACTCTTCGCTTCAGTGCACCTCTTCATCGTGCTGAACGTCGCCTCCACGAACAGCCACTCGTCCGCTTGTCTCGTGCGCGGTCATGGGTCACAACTGGCGAAGTCTGCCTGTCCGGTTCAGAAGACGCTGGAGGGGACGACGCTTGGACCATTGGACCAGCTGGTTGGATCACATCGATGGTCGTCGCTGCGATCGTCGCTGGTTGATCAAGAATCCCACAATCGGTCAACTGATTTGCCAATGAAGCGGACTGAACGTGGTGCAGGGATTCTTATGGGATCCTCATCTGCAGTTAGGATATTATGAGAAAGGTTCTGTTGCCCTGCAGTGCTTCATGGAACTCATCTAAGCGAAACCACGGCTTGGTTTGCAGTTTTTCTTACCCAAGCTGTGTTTTCCGATGTCTTGAGATGCGGATGAGTTGCTTCATCTCAAAACACGTTGTTTCACCTCTTGAAGTCCCGCCGACGGAGGTGACAACTTGTCAGATTTTACCGAGTTGGCGAAGGTCTTTGACCCCCGAGTCAGAAGGGGCGCCTGGGGTGGCTGGCGGGAGGATGGCCCCAGTCCAAAGGCAAGAGGCATAGTGACCCAAGAAAGACGGACAAGAAGGATGGGAACAAAAAAAATACAGTAGCCAAAGATTTCAGCAGCCTGAGTCTACATTGTTTTTGACAGGACGGACTTTGAACGAGTTTTTAGATGTGGATGTGTTGAACGAGTGCCGAGTTTAGGACAAGAGCAGTCCGCTTTTGGAATGGTTTGCCGACAGATGTCGATCGGTAAGATCCTGATGGGAAAAGTAGACGAGGCACGAAGCGCCCTGCAGATATTTGGTTCCAGGTCAGATGTGCAGCGGGTTCGACTGGCCCTTTAACACTTGTGTTTTGTTCATGGCTTAAAAGATGCAAAGGAAGGACAGTGAATGCTGTTGGCCAAACAGCTAGGCAAAGTCTTGCAAGATATCCTTCAAATCCAACTGGTATCAAGTCTAAGTATGAGTTCCACGCTTGTGTGACTTTGTGGGATAGATGGGCTGATGGGTTTACCGAGATGAGATCAGCCAACATAGATTGCAGAGGAAAGTTCTAGCTGCCCAAGCATGTGTCCTGGCAGCCACTGCGATGGGGCGCCGCTTAGCCACTTTGCTGGTCATCGCTGGTGGTCTGGTGGCTGTGTCCTTGCTGAGGCAGCAGTGGAATCGGCTCTTGTGTTTTCGGCAGGCCAAGATTTTCATCAAGATCTTTGAATCTTTGGTCAGTCACTATGCCACTATGCCTTACTGCTGGCTGGTTTTTTGAGGGTGAATTGACCCACAGCTCCGACTTTGCAACAGGCTGAGTTCTGGCAGACTGGCAGGCCTTGGCAGGGAGAGGCAAGGCTGCGCCAGAAGACCCAACAAAATTGCCCACCTGAGAGGATAACCGAAGTGTCAGTGTCCAAATGGAACGTGACATTTGTAGATCGCTGTAGATTGATGTCATTGATGTCATTAAGAAATGATTTTGGCGGTTTAGAACTTTCAGGAGGTTTCCAGTCTCTTCACCTTGCACGGGCAGATGATGGTGCCGAGGCCGCCACGCGCAGATGCAAATAGCTCAGGCTGGGACGTTCAACATTATGGCCGTGTGATCCACAGTTCCATGACTGGAGAAGCCATTTGGAGTCCAGCTGAACGAAAAGCTGAGACAAAGTTGGATGTGCCCTTTGCCTCTAGAAATAGGTGCAGGCTCTGAAGGATCCTTGAAAAAGGTCTTAGAAGACCTGGACCAAGTGGCGCCACCGGATACCTGGGTGGCAAGTGAGTGCTGTCAAGTGCCAAGCTGCTCTGGAAATACAGCGTTGTCTTTCTTGCAGCATTACAGAGCAGCAAACAACAAAGGTATGACACCGAAATCATGCAGGTTGACGGAGGTCTGAAGGCTGAAAGTATAGTGGCCACTGAGTGAAAGGCTTTGCTTGGATCTATTTGCCGCTTGAAAGGATGCAGTAGTAATTCACCAAAAAGGGATGTATCATACTAAATTGTATCATACATGTATTGTACATATGTTATACATACATTACTTTTCAGGCTGGATGTTAAAATGCTGCTAGTTGTTCACAGCAGCTGCAGGCATGCTGCCCACAGAGCCACCCTTGGCTGTCCACAGCAGCTTGGTATTGGACGAGAGCAAGAGTAATTAGTGTGGGGAGCTCCAAGCCAGAAGATGCCTACAGGTTGGCCTTTATTAAAGAATCTGGTATTTCGTGTCTTCCACACCTATCGACCCACGTCTAGCATGCCGTTCCTTTTTGATTCCGCGTCAGTTAACAACAAGCACATCGTCCGCATGGACCTATTCTGCATGATATGTGTGCCGTGTGACAGGTCTGGAGGTCTTTCATCCACAGTTGAAGGTATAGTGGCCCCTGATTGAGTGGCAGGCTAACAGAGGAGAGAGGAGAGAGGAGAGAGGAGAGAAAGAGAGGAGAGAGGAGCGAGGAGAGAAAAAGAGAGGAGAAAAGAGATAGGAGAAAGGAGAGAGGAGAGAAGAAAGAGGAGGAAAAGGAGAAAAAGGAGAGAAGAAAGAGGAGAAAGAGGAAAGAGGAGAGAACAGAGAGAGGAAAGAGAGGAAAGGGAAGAGAATAGAAAATTATAGAAAGGATGCAGTAGTAATTCACCAAAAGGATGTATCATACTAAATTGTATCATACATGTATTGTACATATGTTA